TATAATTTATAATAAGTACTATAGTATTTATAAACTTCTTATTTTATAATTTAAAGACTAGTAATTATTATTTATTATTATTCTTTTTTAATAAGCTATAGTAGAACTTTTTAATATATTCTTTCTTTTTATAATTAAAGTATTTAATATTTTATTAATTATACTTTTTTTAGTTAATAATATTTAAATTTATTAATTTAGGCTTTTTATTATTACTTAAGGTAATATCTTATTTCTTTTTTTAATTAATAAAGTATTTTTATTAAAAAGGCTTATTATTCCTTTATTTCTTTAAACTTCTTTTTTTATATTACTTATATAATTAATTATTAATTTAAGTTACCTTTTTTAAAAGGTTTTTAAATATATTAAGGAGTTTATTTTATATAAGTTTATCTTTTACTTTAAATTTTAATTTTTAATAGTATAGTACTTTTTTTAAGGTATTATTTATATTTATTTTAGTATTAATTTATATAAATTCTATAATAAACTTTAAGTATAATCCTTTTTATTTAAGGCTAAAGAGCTAGTTTTTAGCTTTTTTTATTATTAATAGCTTTAAAAATAGTTTTAAGTTACTTTTTAAATTTTATATAGCTAGTATAAATAATAATAATAATAGCCTTATATTAAGTTATATTATTAATAGTAGCTTTAAAATTTTATTAAAAAGGTTTAAATTAATCTTTTACTATTTTATTAAGTTATAAAGTAATAATACTTACTTTTATCTTATTAATAGCTATAGTTATTAAAAAGTACTTAAAGTATATTCTTATATTTATAAAAAATACTTTAGTCTTTTTTATATTTTTATTATATATAGCTAGTATTAATAGCTTAATAATCTCTTTAAGTTACTTAAATATAATAATATTTTAAGCTAAAGGATTTATAGCTAGTTATTAAACTAGTATAAGTTATATAATAAAAGCTTATTATTATTAATTAAGTTAAGCTTATAAGATTATAATCTTATTTTATTATTAAATATATTTTTAGTTTATTTATTAAACTAAGGCTTTAAAAGCTATAAGTTATTAAAAAGCTATATCTTTAGCTATATTTTAAGCTATTTACTTAAAATCTATTTATATTAAGGTTATTATATTAACTTATTACTATTACTTTTAAGTAATACTTTTTTATAAAATATTATTTAAGAGTTTAAGGTAACTTCTTAAATAAGAGTTATTAATATATAATAAACTAGTATTCTTATAATTAGTAAGAATATATATTTCTTAAAAAATAAACTATTTAAGTAAATAGCTTTAATAAAAAAGCTATTTAGGTTTATATTAATAAAGAGTTAAGTTAGGTCTTAGATATAATAAATAGTTATATAATAAATAATATAATAAAAAGGTATTTAAATTTAATCTAGTTATATTATTACTAGTATAGTATTAATAACTAGCTATTTAAACTATTTAAATAAGTAATATAAATATAACTTAAATACCTAGTTATCTTAGCTTAAATTATTATAAATTATTATTAATTTATATTAATCCCTTTTATAACTTAAATAGAATTACTATTAATTTATATTAACCTAATTCCTATTAGTCCTTTAAATTATAAATAATTTAGTTCTATCTGCTAAGAGTAACCCTTATTATAACCTTAAGAGTTAGGTTATAATAAATATATTATAAGAAAGAATAAGAGATAGAGCCTTTAGCTTTTACTACTAACTATATTAAGCTATTATAACTATACTAACCTATTATAACTATACTAAGCTATAATTATTTTTACCTTAGCAGTATTATTACTATAAGCTATTTTTTCTAATTAAATTATTTTACTTTTATAATAATTTTTAAAGCTTGCTGTTTTTTATATTTTTATTATTATAAGCCTTAACTATTTTCTCCCTGTAAGCGGTTATAAAATTTCTTACTAATAAATACTATTTTTACACTCCTGACTATTACTAGACCTCTTACTAAAAGACCCCTCCACGCCCGAAGGTAGTTGTAGTAGGTAAAAGTACTCCCTACACTAACTCCATCTTCCTCTTCCAGGGATGACATGGTACCAGCTACTTACCTCCCTGCCTGTAAGGTAAGCTTCCGCTAGCGGGCTCGTGACTACCACCACCACCTCACGATGAACCCATTGCCAAACCTTCAAACGTCCATCAAAGAACAGAACTCGCCTCGACGGTGCCCTTGAACTCAGCTACCGCGGTAACGGTGCCAGCAGCTGAACCAGATGGCATGTCGCTGGCTGCTAGCACGGAGCTGGTATTGGATCGTATAAGTAGGTCCTAAGGTAAGTACGTATTGCCCAAAGGATGCGACTGAATTGCCGGCTGTTTCTGCTTGGGGGCCCGAGAATCCGAAGATCCACGGCTCACGCAATAGCCCACAGTTTGCGCCCAAGCAGGAGAGCACTAGGCCCTACGAGGCCTCGCAGAGAGTCGTATCACGGGCTCGGACACCGCATGCGAATATGCAGCAAGGCCCTCGGACCAGGCCTACATGTTACGAAACGTCGGCATGTCCTTTGGCGAGCAGAGCTGCAGAAATCCTGCAAGAGTAGAGGAGGAGACAACGCGGCTCTGTGGCGTCTCCCTCCCCCTCTTCTCTCCCTCTCCCTCTTCCTCTCTCTCTCTCTCTCGCCGGGCGGGATCAAGGCAAAGCTTCCGCAACTGCTTTAACGAGATATGCTTGGAGCCCTCTACAAGAGTATCCCGGCTTGGCATGCCGTTGGGCTCTGGCCATGAGTGTTCTAGACTTTGCGACGTCTGCCTCAAGACGGCGATGATCGGCGCATCTCCTCTTTACCTGTGGCCATCAAGGAGGGTTTGAGGTTGGGCATGGCTTGTTGACGTGGGTGTATTAGCGAGCCTTCTCTCTCTTTGATAATGCTGCTGTGGCATCAGACAGTAGCGCCACACCGGCTTTTCCGCTGGCAACATCCGGCGAGCAGGGACCCGGACGAGACGAGACAAGGTTGGCGGTTGTGGAGAGTCGCACACTGCAAGAGACGAGGAGGGCAGCTGACTCTTGGCGTTTTCCCTCGTCTCGTCTGCGCCTGTGTCTACTTGCATGCGGTAGGGGAGGGGGCCACTGAGGAAGGACTCTGAAGAGGCCCTTGGAATCGTATCATAACACGGGATGGCCAACGCACCACGTCCCCAAGCTGCGCCAGGCATCGATCCGCTGATCGCTTGGATACGCGGCCGTGCTGCGGCTGAAGCAGCTTCTGCAGGCGAAACGAGGCCTGGGTGATGGAAGGGACAAGGCAAGAATCAAGTTCTGATGTGGTCTTGATAGTCAGGTAAGGGGGCTTTTCACTGGGCAGTAATGTAAGCCCCAAAGTGCGTTGATAAAGCGTACTCATTGTAGAGCCTACGGAGTAGTTTGCAGCATATTCACAAAGGCATCGTGACTGGCTTTGCCCTGGAAAGGTTCGAGTGACAGCGAGTTCGCGCCATAGTCATGCGAGAGGTGCACTTGTTTCTACGACTGCCTGGTATAGGACGAGTCAATATGAACCTTTGCCACAGATGACTTACTTGTTCCCCGTTTTAGATGACTGCTGTCGATGGGAATCTTGCTTGCACCCCCGCCATTTCAACAAAGACTCGATGGTTGGCGCGTACCTTGTTTAAAATAACAACTCTACTGTACGGGAGACGAACAGTGCCAACTAGAAGCTAATCTTGATGGTCTGTTACAGGGAGATACCCTAGAAACGAAAAGCGGACCTCGGGGCGATCAATCTTCAGGGTCCTGACGATGGCGAAGATCAATGCCGGGGGGCCGTCGAGGAGCTTGGGCCTTGTTCTGGCGCTTTGGCTTGGTGATGAGAGGCGATCACTGAGGCACAGAGGGGAATAGCTGTGAGTTTATAACGCAATGCTGGCTCATCTCACTCCGGGCCGGAGCTCGGTTTCCACCGAGGACGAGCCAATATAGCTTCTTTTGTCAAGATGTAGAGTCGCAAGGCAGTGAGGAAGTCGTCGCTTCATTTTATGGGCTTGGAGAGGACGGAGGCGATGCCGCGGGTGATGAAAGGCTCGCCTGCACGCTCTATGCAAGATATATATCCGGCGTTGGTCGATGAGAGTTGGCGAGTCTGGCGGCATCTCCATCTGCTACAGTTTCAAGGTGATGCCAGGAGAATGTATAGGCGGATGCGTGTACTCTGGCCTGTGCCTATAGTATCCGACGAAGCACACACTCCAGAGCACCCCCTGCCGATGGCCTCATGCAGCGTCTTATCTTTTGTTCCTGCTGGATGTGGCTGTCCGGCATGGTACTTTTGCCTGTAGGTAAGGTAGTGTCAACGCTGCAGTGCGTGTTTGTTCATACATGCATCTGCGCTGCCCTTCAGGTGCTTCTTCTTGTTCCTTTGGGCTGCCGGGTAAGCTGGAGCCGTGACGGACTTGGGGTATGTGTGTCTGGTCGCTGCGCCGAAGCCGAATCTCAGCTCTGCCTGTAATCCATCCCATCCAATCTTCAGGCCAAGTGGAACCTCTGTTCCTCCCATCGTAGCTTCAGATCTTGGCCTCAGCATCTTTTCTTCCCCATCTTCCATCTTCCCGTTTTCTCCTCCGTACCCGCCTCGAGGAGCCCCCCCAACGAACAAAAGCAGCAGCAGGAGGACATCGCCACATCGTCTGATTCGGGCTGCTGCAGGTGGACCTTGACATGCCGATAATGCAATTAGACCAGTGCGCTCGTACACACGTCCAGCCTCAGCGATGCGTGTGGCTGGTTCGTTTTCGATAAATCATTCTTTATGGATCAACCTGTTTCTCGCCCCCCTTGGCCCTTGACGCCTAACCCAACGCAGTGTGCCGCGCTGATCATGATCTCCTTCTTTTTGCTCCGAGAACTTGAACTTGATTGCTGAAACCCCAGAAAGAGAGAGAGAGAGAGAGAGAGAGAGAGAGAGAGAGAGAGAGAAGAAACAACAAAGAGAAGAGGCATAGAGAGGAGAGAGCAAGAAGAAAAATGGTCGGCACGATGTCGGTGATGGAATTGGAATCGGGCGCGGCTGCGCTTCCCAACACCAACGCCCCCCCTCCTCCTCCCGCCATCTGGAGGAGCACCGCCGACGACGACTCGACGCTGCTGGACGACCTGGACCACGAGCCGACGGTGCTCAAGTCGTATCGCGACTGGGACGAGTGGAAGCGCGACATCCAGCCGCACGTCGACGTCTTCATCTGGCGCTACATGTGGTCGGACCGGGCGGCCGACGAGCTGCGCGCGCGCCCGACGCCGCCGCAGGTGCAGCAGTTCAACCGGCACGCCCGCGACGTGTCGGAGCTGACCAAGGACGAGTTCGACCTGTACCACGACCAGAACAAGGCCTACTACGCCCGCAAGCAGGAGTTCGACCGCCAGAGCGACATGGTCGACCGCGCGCGGGCCCTCGTCCTGCGCACCGTCGCGCCGGCCAAGGCCGAGCTGCTCGACGCCGGCAGGACGCTGCGCGAGTGGGTGGCCCTGCTGCGCGACACGACGGCCCCGACGTACCGCCAGCGCATCGAGATTGAGCGCGGCAACTACAGCGCCGTGCTGGAGCGCTTCGACCTGGGCGACGGCGGCGGCGGCGGCGGCGGCGAGACGGACTGGGCGCACGAGTGGTACAGCGCCGTGACGAGGTGCCACAAGCTCGGCTTCCCGGAGACGCTGTGCGGGACCTGGCTGCGGGACCTGGCCGACTGCATCCTGCCGTTCTCGCCGCCGCTGTTTGACAGGTTCATGCTCGGGGCCGACAGGCTGGATCTCGCGGCCATGGAGTGGCGGGCCGAGGCGGAGGAGGCCATGGCTTTCAAGAAGACGCACAAGTGCGGTGGCGGCGGTGGCGACGACCCCAACAGCGGCACCAACGGCATTGACAGCAGTAGAAGCGGGCATCGTCAACAGCAAGAGGCCCCTAGCGAGATCCAGACGAACGAGGCAATGGCATCGTCGTCGTCGTCTTCTGCCAGACCGCCCGTCCAAGCAGTGCCCTCGGAGGAAAAGGAGGTGGTGGAGCTGGACGCCGCCTCGCCCCACGACGCAGACCGCCTGTGGACGTTCCTCGAGGTGTACCGAGAGATTCGCGACCTCGAGTTCGGGGGCTCGGAGGCGGACGTGGCCATGGACGACGACGACGACGACGACGACGGCAACGCGGACGCGGCGTCGGCCAAGGGCTCGGACTCGCCGCAGTGCCCGGCGTGCAACCTCCGGGGCCACGAGCTGCGGCACTGCTGGTACGCCTTCGAGGAGCGGCGGCCGCGGGGCGTGATGCTGAGCCGGTCGCGGATGCGGCGCGTGGAGAGGGCGATCCGGACGGACAAGAACCTGGAGCAGCGGGTGGACGACATTTACACGGCGTTTACGGGGGGCAGGTTCTACCAGCGGCAGCTGATGCTCGGGTCGACGCAGTCTGCGTGGTGAACTTGAATTTTGACACTTGATATTGCTATGAATCTTGTCAATCGGACAAGACGGGTATTGGGCATGATGGTTTGGGTCGGTTTGCAAGGGATAACTTATGATGTATGATGTACGAAACTTTTGTGAGTGAATTTGGCAAGCGATGGATTTTTTTTTTGGGATATGATATGATATGAAGGGTACTTACTTATACGGCGAATGGATCACATACTTCTCTGTTCTCCCCCCTCCCTGGTTCTTGTTGAAGGAGGGAGATGGCTTGAATGATGCTTAGTATATGATATGCTACGATGCTTACTCTGACAGAACTCGAACAACTGGACGCCAGTTCCCAACGACACTGCCCATAACGCCATGACCCTGGACCACCATATATATCAGACCCCATCGCCTGACAACAAACACGCAGATACAATATAAATCCCAAGCCAAACACTACACATACTCAAACAAATCCCGAATCCACATTTGAAAAAGTAATCCTTTCAAGCAAACCTCACGTTCCGCTCCATCGTCGTCTCCGCCATCTCCCCGGCGCGACCATGACGACGACCAGCGCCACCGCCGCCGCCAACGTGCTCGCTCTCCAACCTCGAACACCAGCACGACCCCCCGCCATCCGAGCAGCACGCGCCCCCTCCGCTCGAGAAGCAACACCCGCCCGCGTCCGAGCAGCAGCACCCCTCCCTGTCGCTGAAGCAGCATCCTCCCCTGTCGCTGAAGAAGCAGCCGCCGCGGTGGGAGAAGCAGCACCCCCCCGAGTCGGATGCTATGCAGCCCGAGCTGCTGTTGTTGTCTTCGTCGTCGTAGTGTCCACGGCGGCGAAGATGCCAGCGGGTGGTGGTGGTGGTGGGATTCCGGGAGGGGTTCATGGGGGTTGTGAGGAGGTAGCCTTGGGTGTTTATGCTGGTGCGGCCGGAGCGGGCGGCGATGAGGGACGGGAGGGAGGATGTGCTGTTGTTGTTGGAGGCGTGGTGGTGGTGGTGGTGAGGAGGAGGAGCGGACGGTGATGTGGATGTGGGCGTCGCTCGGTCTGCGTCTTTTTGGTCGGAGAGGAAGATGGGTTGGCTATTACGATGTTTTTCGTCAAGTCATTGGGAACGTGTGAAGACATCGACATGCAGCATTGTTTTGATTGACACAGACGTTGAGAAAGATACGAAAGACAAGTGAAGCACGTGAGACATCAAAAGCAGGTTGACAATTTGGATTGTGTAACAGAAGCGAGGATCAACTTGGTAGAGGGAAGATTTACATGGTGGAAGCCTCGTACGAAGGGGAGATCGTCATCGTTGAGGTCGACGTCGTCGTCGGCGTCGTCGCTGTCGCCAAAGATGGTCGCACCAGCAGCGCGGGTCGCACGGCGGAGTTCCGGAGGACCGGGGGGAGGCCGGCGGGCCGGGAGGAGCGGAGGCGGGGGGGATGCGGCTCGACTGCTCGTTGGGATGGACTTGTCGCTGTTGAGGGTATTCATGGTCACTTCAATGGTATCAGAAGATGAATAGACTGAAATGATGAGAAGGAAGAAGAAGGATGAGGGATATGAGGGGATGAAGAATAGATGGAACCATATTTTTACTAATACCAGATGTTTTAGACTTCCCAAACGTGCCGCCGCAAGCCTCGGGGATCCAGCAGCTCGGATTCCATGGGAATTGTGTGGCGAAACAAATTTGGGGTTGTGTGAATCGACACGTGCTTATGCTTTTTGCTATGGAGATAGTATCTATAGCTTACCCCGGAGAATAAGCCAAGCCATGCTTTGACAGGAGTTTGCTGTCCGGGTTGCGTGGCGCTGGGCTGGGCTGGTTCTGGGCTGAGTTGTGGTCAAGAGGGAGGGGCGTCGTCAGCTGCTGAGCTGAGGCAGGTGAGCTGAGGTGTGATAGAATGCGTTAAATGGGGATGATGTTGAGGGGGATTCATTTGCGGTTTGGGGTTGGGAGCTGTGAGGGAGTAAGTTCGTGTTACCCTGATTTGTTCCAATACATTGATAATCTGCCTTACTACCTTACCTTACCTATGTATACTGCTTGTATCTTTAGAGATGACGCTCAAGTGCCGGGCGGATCAAGATGGCGATATCCGGGATCCACACCGACAGCCAGTGCTAATACTATGGACTTGTCGCTTCTCATGACATCAAGCAAAAAGCCGAGCAGTCATTCAACTCATTTTGTTCATTTCAATGGCAGCTCTTTCTATACAATTGAATATCCAGTGATTATCTCAGATGCTGTCGCCGCCGGTGTGAAGATACAGTACAAAAACCGCGCCAGTTCCATCCATGTGTCCCGCTATGAGATGCTCCTCCGCCCTCGACTTGCTTAAACTCCAGACAATTGAGTCGCTGTCCCGCCCTTGTATGATTACCAGAAGAATACCCGATAGAAGAAACAATGTTCCAAAATAATACCAATCGCTTATGCATATACAACATCGTATCGACCATTATACCTGCAGCTGTGACTTTTCCAGCTGCAACACATTCGGCGGAGCCTCTACCCGCGACTCTGCTGCCGCCGCCGCCGCAGAAGCCTCTGCTCGAGGCTGCTGGTGAGCAGCCGCCTTGGGCTCGACGCTCGACGCCACGGTCGAAATGGCAGACACGTCCTGGCCGCTCCGCCGCCTCGCCGCCATCATGCTCCCCTCGTCGGCGGTGACCATGACGAGCGGCGGCAGGGGGGCGCCGCGGGCCGTGGCCGAGGGCGCCTCGATGAGGGCGATGCCGCGGTTGCGGTGCATGTACTGCGACAGCTCGACGAGGCGGTTGAGCACGCTAAACTCCATCTTGAGCTTGACGCTGTAGGCAAAGGGCTTCCAGGCCGTCTGCAGGTCGTAGTGGTCCGTGTACTGCAGGACGAGGATGCTGACGTCGAGGGCGATGATGACGAGGTTGATGAGGATGACGTGCCACATGGTCCTGCGGTTGACGCCGACGAGGCCGCGGTAGCTGCGCAGGATGCGGTACGTCTCGCGGATGTAGAGCGCCGAGATGACCACCTCCTGGACGAAGAAGACGGTGAGCTGGACGCGCTCGAAGACGAAGTAGGGCGTCTGGAAGCGGGCGGCGCGCGGCGAGTTGCACAGGAAGAGCAGCACGGTGACGGGCACGAGCAGCCAGACGGCGTTGACGACGATCATGACGAGCACGCCGCGGACGAGGCGCTCGCGCAGCAGCACGATGTGCAGGCGCGAGTACAGCACCAGCGACTGGCCCGTCACCATGGCGGCCCAGCCGGCGATGCCCAGCGCCGTGTAGGCCCACGACGACAGCGGCGGGTGGCCGACGGCCCGCAGCAGGAAGCCGACGGCGTTGACGGCGATGCCGGCCGTCGACACGAGGAAGCTCCAGCAGTAGAGGCCGCGCAGCCGCTTGAAGGTGACGGCGATGTGGCACGCCAGCTCGCCGACGTTGTAGAGGGCCAGGCTGAAGAAGACGTACATGACGATGTGCGTCTGCTCGTCGTGGACGCGGCCCTGCGAGACGACGGTGCTGCTGGAGCCGGCGGCCATGGCTTGCTTATCGGAGAAGAGGAAGAAGAAGAGCTGGGACGATGATGATGATGTGTGGTGATGACGGTGATGGTTTGTAGATGGATGGTGGGTTGTTGCCGGTGTGGTGTTTTCAGCGGCATGATTCTCTTTGCGGCGGGAGCGTCATGAAGCTGTGTTCGGCGGCGTGATATTCGTCATGGGACTGCGAGTTGAGATGGAGGAAAGCGTCGAGATGAGGCTGATGGAAGTGCTTTTGAATCGGACCGTCGTGATGGGAGCGCAATGATACGATACCAGCTTTCAGTTCCGGCGAGGCGGAGTAGGCGTATATATATATATATAGAAACGAAAGAAGAACGCAACTGTGACAAACTTGTTTTCCGTATCCCCTCTTTTAGTCTATGTTTCCATGACAAGCAGTCAGTACTAATGAGAGCAAGAAGCTGTAGACGATGAGAATTCGAGAGAGGAAGGGAAAAGCAAATCGGAGATCGAGAGAGCCCAGGACATCAAATAGGGACATGGGGGGGTGCGGCAAGCTGGGATCGCACCAACGACCCGCGGGACCGGGACCCCCCCAATACCGGCGTCAAGGACAGGAATATATACCTTGCATGCTAGTAGTAGCTGTGTGAGCTGTTACCTGCTTTATGACATGCTGCATCTCTGCTGAATTCTGCGCTTCTTGCATAAGGCACAAGTAGGGCATGAAAGGGGAGGAGGAGGAGTGTGAGTGTGAGTGTCAGGTCAGGCTTTGATATTGCATGTGCTTGTGCATGGGGGCATGTACGCACTAACACCCATGGCCCCTTGTTTTATGCTTATACCTTTGTGGGCGGTTCTATGTTTCGAGCAATCAGATGTCCATTTGTTACAAGGGGCGGCAACATCTTGCAGCCAGAGAGGCGAAAACGGTACCTAACAAGGCGGAATCGGTTTGCAACGACTCAAGAGGATGGAGACGGTGAAGCGAAGATTGGCTGGGGAGAAATAGTAGTTTCCATGTAGGCAGTAGTAGTAGGATTTGGGGGATCTGGATCATCTGGATCATCTGTGTGGAGCCCCCGTTGCCTTTTTGCAGCCTTGGCTGTTTTCTTCTGGGGCGGGTTTGGATGATTTGGTTTGATGTGATTTGATGGGTGCTTTGGGGTGGTTACGGATACCGTTGCGATTCAGTTTCGCTGTCTTGTCCACCTGATGAGGAGGAGCAGGTCATGTACATACAAGGAAAAAGACGGGAGTGGGCGTCAGAATTGGCGATTGCTGCACGGCCAGCTTCATGCAAGTTGATTCAGTCCATGTCACGCACGACTAAGTGGACATGAAAATGAAGTAGACATGACAAGAGTGTAGGTGAGTGCTCGTATGCCTCACCGCATCGTTGCCTCTATTGCATAACCCAACATGGCCAAGGGGGGAAAATAGCAACGAGAGGAGATCGATAGGTACTCTGGCCAAGCCTTTAGGCGAGCGGCTGGCTACCTTGCGCCTAAAAGACACAGCGGGGGTGATTGGGCAGGTTGTTGAATAACAGCAGAACAGCAGAAACAGTCAGGAAAAAAGCAAAGGGCAGAGAGAGAGAGAGAGAGGCTGGAACCAGAGAATGGGCTGATCATCACGGCCCTGCCCCCATGAAAGCAACGCATAGACTATAAGCTGCACCTTGTTACGAACGAACTTGGTGTGTACGAGAACCCGATGCTTGCCCACCTATCCCATCACACCGGACCAAAAAGCTGGGATGCAGCAACTTTCACTAACCTTTGGTTCAACCAACTTTTTTATCTCGTTATTTCGGGGCTGCTGCTGCAAGGGATGGAACATGAGCCGGTCCTTTAGAATATCAATGTAAGGGCTCGGATGGTGGATGTGACCAGACGACGGGACAGGACGGACAGAGATGCATGTGCTCTATTTGGCACGCCCCCTTTTCAGCTCTACCTTACGTGTGTGAACGAGACTGGGCTTGCACGATGCATCGTTTGAAGCTGCAGTAGCCTCGGAAAACCAAAGAGGGGACAGAAACAGAATAAAACCGACTGTGGCGGCGCGAATAATTTCACCCTCTCTGCTGCTTATCCTGATGCTTTCTTCTTCCTTTTACTTCGTCCTGGTTTTTGGCTTGCAAGGGCCTTTGTGAGGTGAGACTTGGCCGCTGCAGGCGCTTCACAGCAAAGAGTCATGGAGCAGCAGAAGCCAGGGCTTCGGATCTGTACCCAAAGAAGATGCCTTGGGCTCCCGCGAAGCTGGGATCGTTCTTTTTTTTTTTTTTTTTTTTTTTGAAGCGTCAAGTGCATACATACATGCAGTGACTGATACATGGCATGGCATGGCATGGCATTACATACCTCTCTCTCAACACCATCAAACTAACCTACCCAACCTACCTAGTATCACCTTACCATACATGTACATGACATGACATGACATGCAATTGCTGCTGCTCTGCATCCAGCCTACAAGAACAAACCAATCCGCACCCGTATTTGCACCCATCCAAAAGCCCCTCTGGAATGCACTCCCGCTCACCGAATGCACCTCAAAATCCATCCATCTCGCGATTCAACACAAATCTCTCTCTCTCTCTCTCTCTCTCTCTCCACATCACCGGTCCGACAAATCTCCCTCCCGCCACTTGCCACTTGCCTTTTTGACATGGGTGTGTTGTGCTTCTGCCCAATGGGCCTCTTGCGGGGGAAAAATCCCGAAGACGACCACCCCCTCACTCGCTTTGTGAAATAATAACCTTGGTTGCTTGGAACCGAGAGAGAGTGGGAGAGAGGGCTAGGGCCGCGTTTCTTTCCGTCTTGCCCGCCCCGTCGGTTCTTCCCCCTTGTTTTGATCTGGACCCGGCTGGAGATGCATGTGGCGAAGCACAGGCGGTGGTGTCGTGAGCAGATAGTAGATGGACTCCGTGCCGCTCAGAGCTTACTATGCGGCGGAGGCTGTCAGGGCTGTTCCGGCTAGGGGAGAGAGCACAAGTCGGTTTATGTATGTGCATGCAATCATCTCGTCTGACATTATTCTTGGCCATGAGAAGGAGAACACAAAAGAGCAAAGCTGCCAAGAGACGTTGCACGGCGTTTGGCCTCGTACAAGCGCACGACATCCAATCGATGGCCCAAGGTAGGGATAAGCCAATATCACAGCGAAGCCATGCGTTTTTGCTCTGCTTTGAATGGATGAATCCTGTCAAATAGGCGCGTATCCACCCGCAACTCGATCGATCGATTCGATCGCTTGATCCGGGGAAGTAAGATATTAATACAAGTACTACTAGCCTGAACAAACAAAGCAAAGGAGGAGAAGAGAAAAAAGCCGAAAAAAACTCATGGCCGGCTTCGAGATAGAGAACCCCCCCTACTAGATAATGTTCGTAGTCGTGCTATTAGCAAAGTAACTGCCCAGGCCTCAGAAGATGACCTTTGACGCTACGCTGAGCAGCCACGCCGCATCGCTCCAGCTCCCTTCATCTGCCGTCGGCGGCGGCACAAAGTCCTCCGGATCCAGAGGCCCCTCGACGTGCCGCTTCAGCCAGGCGTTGCGGTCATCCTGCGTCCGCGAGTCCGCCAGCGACTCGTCGTACTCTGACTCGTCGTCGTCGTCGTCCGTCTCCTCGTCGTGCTCGTCCACCGAAAAGAGCGACCAGCCCATGAAGCTCGTCATCCAAGATGCCTTGCCCGCGGTGCCCCGCCGCATCAGCCTCTTCACGTCCGCCTCGGCGTCCTCGAGCGTGTCTCGCTCCAGCTCCTCCAGCCTCTCGTCGAGGTCGACAAAGTCGGGCCCGGCGAGCGACTCCTCTTGGTTCGGGAAATACGAGCCGTCGTCTGCGACTCGCTCCGCGGGCGTCATGAGCTGGCTCCGGCTGCCGTGGATGCTGTGAGATCGGCTGTGTATCTTGCTCCCCAGGACGGAAACGGACATGTCGTCTGCCGCGACACGAGCCACGACTGGCCCTTGAACTCCCTCGCCTCAAACGTCATCAGCGCGCCCGTCCTCAGCAGCCAGTCGCCATCGCCTCCCTCGTCGTGCTGCCGCCTCCGCGGCGTCACGGAGCCGTGCGCAGCCCGCTTTGCCGCATTGACAAGGTGCGACGACGACTTGCTCTTGGGGATTGGCGCGCCCGAGCCAGACGACGTGCGGTTGCGCGACCGCGACCGCGACCGAGGGTTGGTGGCGGAGCTGGCCAGCAGCCGAGGCGTTGCGGGCGCCGACTTGCCCTGCAGGTACGAGGTGCTCGGCCGCGGCAGCGAGAGGGCGGCGTCGGCAATGGCTTCGTCGTCGTCGAGCGGGAGCTTTGTGGTCAAGGGGGCCAGCGAGAGGTGGTTGAGGTTGGTGGATGATCGGTTCTTGCGGCGGACGCGCTCGGCGTGAGGGATGTGAGAGACGTCCATGGTGGGTTGACCGCTGGACGTTTGGTGGTTGACAGAGAGAGTATCAAAGCACAGCTGCCAAGGCGAGGTCGGTTGTCAGTTCAAGCTGCTCAAAGGGTCTGGAGACACATGTCACGTATATTGAAGCGGTATTGATGGATTCGGTAGCAGTGACGAAAGGGCAGCAGAGCAAAGAGGAGGTGCAAGATGTGGTTGAGGTGGTGGTGGTTTAGCCTTTATTACAGTACCGACAGCTTATCTATGGTTTGGGTAGGTTGGCTTTTGTTGGGCCAGACCTTGGTTGCTTGATTCCCGAGGTTGCTGTGGCTGGCGGTTTGGGCGCCTGTGATTCGCCGGGTGCCGTCATCAGGCGCTGGAGGCCAATGGCAGCAGCGCACCCACGCACTGTAGGCCGCGGATGACGCTGGATTTACAGGGCTGTTTGGGCGGTGATGCGCTGATGCTGCCAGCCTGCATGCATGGCTGCCGAAAGGGTATCGGATGTTCAAACCATCACGGCATCGGATCAGAGCTGCTGTCACGATCATCCTCCATTACCTCATGTCGAAAGCGACAGAATGCATGCACGAAAAATAACCTGGAATTCATATACATAGAGATTATGCATGCACCTCACTGTGTGCCGTTTTCAATTCCTACGCAGCTTCAATACAAGGTTCTCCAGCATTACAGGTAAGCAGCCTCGGCCCTTGCTAGCGCCGATCTGCCGCCAAAATGGACAATGGCCTCCAAGGCTGCGAGTCATCCGGGTGCATCTTTTGGCTGATAGAGAAAGAGATGTCTGGATAAGGGAAAAAAAAGTTATCTCGACATCATCCACGACTCTCGGGCGCGAACGGAACCCACGAGACCTCGAAACAGGGAAAAGAGAAAGGACACAAGTGGAATCGCACGAGACGGTCGTTCGATCTCCCGCCTGTTCCATCAGCCCATCCGCGCAGGGCGTCGTGTGGTCGGCCAATTTTTTTTTCTTCTTTCCTTTCCGTTGAGCCCCTCCACAGCCGCCCTTGACGATGCGCAACCTGCGAAACCTGCGGTTCGGACGATGGCGGCATCCCGACATCACCGCCGCCTGCTGGGACCCCGAGACCGACGAGATTGTGTGCGCCATCGGCCCGACCGAGCAGAACCCGACGGTTGAGCTGGTCAGGCTGTCCGACTCTGATTCCATGTGCGTTCTATGCAGTCTTTTTTTGATGGAGGTGGGGGCGGGGCATCGTGATGAGAAGAGACGAAGGAACAGAAACTCAAACTGGATGATGGAAAGCAAAAGCTCACACGCAGCCGCAGAAACCACCGCACATTTGCTCGCTGGGATGCGCCCAGTCCGAACCCCGAGCTCCTCGTCGACCGCATCGTCAGTCTCCACCACCTCAGCGGCAGCGGCACGACATGCCTCGTCCTGGAAGGCGGCGACATCATCACCGTCCGCGAGGATCCCTCGGCCGGCCATGTCCACATTGAGATTATGGGGTCGATAGACGCCGGCATTGCGGCCGCGCGATGGTCCCCCGACGAGGAGCTGCTGGCCGTGGTCACCAAGGCCGACACCGTGGTCTTCATGGGAGGCGCCTTTGACCCCGTTGCCGAAGTGACCATGACGGAGGAGGATCTCAAGGCGTCCAAGCACGTCTCGGTAGGATGGGGCAAGAAGGAGACGCAGTTCCAGGGGCGCGGCGCCAAGGCCCTCCGGGATCCCACGATACCCGAGAAAGTCGACCAGGGACTCCCGAGCACCAACGAGGACGGATCGGTATCCATCAGCTGGCGCGGAGACGGCGCGTACGTGGCCGTCAACTCGGTTCAGGAGGGGTCTCGACGAGTCATCCGGGTGTATTCTCGCGAGGGAGAGCTGGACAGTGCCAGCGAGCCCGTTGACGGATTTGAAGGCGCTCTGAGTTGGAGACCGTCGGGCAACCTCATTGCCGGTATTCAGCGATTGTCCGACAGGGTTGATGTCGTCTTCTTCGAGCGGAACGGCCTGCGCCATGGACAGTTTACCCTGCGATCGCCCAACGGAGCGATCTTGGATGCTGCCGACACCAGGATCCGACTGGAGTGGAACTCGGACTCGACCGTTCTGGCAGTCATCCTCGCCGACACCATCCAGCTGTGGACCATGGGCAACTACCACTGGTACCTCAAGCAAGAAATCGCCATGGAGCCGGGATTTGCCTGCCTGGCCTGGCACTCGGAAAAGGCACTTCGGTTCGCAGCAGCATCGGCCGGCAGCGTCATCCTCGCCGAGCAAATCTTCCATACCTCTCGGGGCTCGTGCCGGCCGCCCTACGACAACGGCGTAGTTGCTGTCATCGACGGCGAGACAGTCAAGATCACACCCTTTCGAACTGCCAATGTGCCTCCTCCGATGGCCCTCTTTGAGGTCAAGGCCGCCTCCTCTGTTGTTGATGTAGCCTTTGGACACCGCAACTCTTCCTTTGCAGTCCTTCACCAGAAAGGCGTGGACATCTACGAGTTGCCATTGAAGAACGGAAGGTCGACCAGGCCGGTGGAGGTGCTCAAGCTGCCTTTTGATACCCCTAATATGCCAGAGCATCACATGCCCCTGAGAATCTGCTGGGTGTCTGAGAACAGCCTGCGATGTATGGGGTATCAGGATGACCTGGGCCACCTTCAACTGGTTGTGTCTACGGGTGAAGGAAGCTCCACCGAGATTAGCATGCTGGACAGCAACCTGATATTGGCAGCCACGGCAACGCGCGAGGATGAATCTACCGTGGAGAGCTACGGCCAGGATCAGTCTGGCAGGCTATATAAGCTCTCCAACTCCGGCGACGACATTCTTCCCATCCAGTTTACGACACAGCTTCCGTGGTTCGAGGTCAGCAAGCACGACGACGTTGAGATGGCCTTTGGCCTCTCGCGGGCGGGCCACATCTTTGCAAACTCCAGGCTGCTGGCCAAGAACTGCACCTCCTTTGTCGTCACGCCAGACCACCTCATCTTCACCACCAGCAACCACTTTGTCAAGTATGTCCACTTGGTGGCAGATGTCGAAGGTAAGTGGTGTCTATGAATATGAGACAAAAAAAAAAAAAAACGAGATGGGTGCTAACTCTACCCAGACCTAGAGGTTCCTGGCGATGACCCTGAAAAGGACGAGCGATGCCGCAGCGTGGAGCGCGGTTCTCGTCTTGTTACCGCGATGCCGACCAACATGAGCATCGTGCTGCAGATGCCGCGTGGCAACCTGGAGACCATCTTCCCTCGAGCCATGGTGGTGGCTGGCATCAGGAGCCTCATTGAAGAGAAAAACTATGCGCGAGCTTTCTCTTACTGTCGGTCGCAGCGTGTGGACATGAATATTTTGTATGACCACAAGCCCGAGCAGTTTCTCTCCTGCGTTGGCCTCTTCTTGGATCAGCTGAAGGAGGTCTCCTACATTGACCTCTTCCTTTCATCTCTAAGGTAGATATAATCCTTCCTACGTTGCTTTTCCCCTGTTTGCCAGCCACTAATTCCAGTCCACAGAGAGGAAGATGTCACGCAGACCATGTATAAGGATACCAAGCGGGCAAAGGCTCAACCCTACAGCGCCAACGCCCCCGAGACACCGTCTTCACAGAAGCCTCACGGCTCCAAGGTCAATGCCATCTGTGATGCAGTCCTCAAAAGCCTCCAGTCTCGCAAGGAGACGCATCTCCAGAACATCATCTCCGCGCACGTCTGCAAAGTCCCCCCTGCCTTGGATGACGGCCTGACCCTCGTTGCTGAGCTGATGCAAGAAGACGAAAAACTGGCAGAAAAGGCAGTAGAGCACATTTGCTTCCTGGTGGATGTCAACCGCGTGTATGGGAACGCTCTTGGTCTGTACAACCTCGACCTTGCTTTGCTGGTCGCACAGCAGTCCCAGCGAGACCCCAGGGAATACCTCCCCTTCATTCAGAACCTTCACGTCCTTTCCGAGCTCCGCCGCAAGTTTGAGATTGACGACCATCTTGGCCGACGACAGAAGGCCTTGGCTCGCCTCAAGGCCCTGGATGCGTTCGACGAGCTGTGCAACTACACCAGCAAGCATGACCTCTACCAAGACGCCCTCAAACTCTACCGCTACGACCCGCCTCGGCTGGCGACCCTGACGGAGCTCTATGCCGTCTACCTCGAATCCAGGTCTCAGTACAGAGAAGCAGGCCTGGCATACGAGTCCATCAGGAACTATGCCAAAGCGACCAGCTGCTACCGCTCGGCCGGCGCGACATGCTGGCAAGAATGCCTCTTCACGGCTTACCAGCAAGATCCCCCCCTCTCCGCAGACAGCAAAGCCGAGCTCGCGACGGCCCTTGCAGACGCCCTCTGGGAGGCCAAGGACTTTTCCTCCGCCGCCACCATCCACCTCGAGTACCTCGACTCGCTCGAGACGGCCGTCAAGTGCCTCTGCCGGGGCTACCACTTCGCCGAGGCCATCCGCCTCGTCGTCCAGCGGTCCCGCCCGGACCTCCTCGAGTCGGCCGTCGACGTCGGGCTCGCCGAGGCGCTGGGCCGGACGACGGAGTTCCTGGCCGACTGCAAGGCCCAGCTGCGCGCGCAGGTGCCCCGCATCGCCGAGCTGCGGCTCAAGGCCGCCGAGGACCCGCACTAAACATCTAATAGGTAACACGTGTCTACCGACTCTATGTAACCATATCCATACCATCTTTCGTACTTAGACCAAGGAGGGAGACCAACACCGACCGAACAAGACCTCCTCACGCAACGGGGAGACCTTCCATTTGGGCCCTTAACGACAAGTCTGGATTGGGGACTGTTACACACTAAAAACGTCATCGAGTAACTTAGTCCGTGGTAGCTTTGTTAATGTCCTAGTTTCATATGAACGTAGCTTTGGCTCTATACCTGTATAACATATGCCAAGGTGCTTTGTTTTCGTTGTACTAAGGTGTTATATGTGACTTTGGTTCTGGTACTATTACTGGTACGTAGGGGAGAAATATTTGTGTGTGTGTGTGTGTGTTCTAGTTAGGAAATGTATGTATTATGTACTACGTCGTCTTTTGTTTGTTTGCTTATGAGGGTTTTAGGTAGAGTAGGGTCGTTCTGTTCGAAGAAGTAGGGGCTTTAGTGGCCGCCGAGGTAGAAGGAGGGGACGTCGACGAGGACGTAGGTGAGGACCTTGTGCGGGAGAGGCGGGCTTCGGAAGGTGCGTACGTGGGGGAGCAGTCGGGCACGGCAGACGACGACAACAGGAAGGACGACGACGACGAGGCTTCTGTGCCGTTTGTGGAGGGACTGTCGTGGGAGCGTGCGGAGGTGTTGTAGGCGGTACTCGCGGAGGCGCCGGGCGCGGGCGAGGCGGTAGGGGGAGGAGTGCTCGCGTTTGTGGTCGGAGAGCTGGAGCCGGAACCTGCGGAGGTGCGCGAGGTGGTCGGCGGCGTGCGACAACTGCTCCATGAGGAGGAGCATGTGCCACGGGAAGGACGGGGAGCGCGCGAAGAAGAGGAGGGCGGCGGCCAAGAACGAGCAGCGGGCCGACTGGGGGCAGGGCCGGCAGGGCTGCGACGGGCGGAACGGGCACATGGCGCACTTGTCCGACCGGCTCCACGACTGCGCGCTCGAGCGGCGGTGCCTCTGCAGCAGCCCCTACAACGGCAACGGCAGGTACGGCATCGGGCGGGCGAGCGGAAGCATTTTCCGCT